AGGATTTTTATAGGCCTCTTTCCAGTCTGGGACATGGAATGGTTTGGGATGGAATGGGCCTTAAAAGTCATCCAATTCCAAGGCAGGGATTCCAAGAGAAAGTTGGATTCAATGGTCTTTATTGATCCCTTCCAATTTGGAATGTGGAATGGTTTGGGATGGAAGAGACCTTAAAAATCCTCCAATTCCAGGCCAGGGAGTCCAACAGAGATTTGGGTTCCAGAGGTTTTACGGACCCTTCCAGTTTAGGGCACGGAACAGTTTGGGATGGAAGAGGCCTTAAAAACTATCCAAGAGGTGCAACAGAGATTTGGATTCCAGGATTTTTATAGGCCTCTTTCCAGTCTGGGACATGGAATGGTTTGGGATGGAATGGGCCTTAAAAATAATCCAATTCCAGGCCAGGGAGTCCAACAGAGATTTGGGTTCCAGAGGTTTTACGGACCTTTCCAATTTTGGACATGGAACAGTTTGGGATAGACTTAAAAATCATCCAATTCCAGGCCAAGGAGTCCAACAGAGATTTGGATTCAATGGTCTTTATTGATCCCTTCAAATTGGAATGTGGAATTGTTTGGGATGGAAGAGGCCTTAAAAATTATCCAAGAGGTGCAACAGAGATTTGGATTCCAGGATTTTTATAGGCCTCTTTCCAGTCTGGGACATGGAATGGTTTGGGATGAAGGGATCTTAAAAATAATCCAATTCCAGGCCAGGGAGTCCAACAGAGATTTGGGTTCCAGAGGTTTTATGGACCCTTCCAATTTTGGACATGGAACAGTTTGGGATAGCCTTAAAAATCATCCAATTCCAGGCCAAGGAGTCCAACAGAGATTTGGACTCAATGGTCTTTATTGATCTCTTCCAGTCTGGGACACAGAATGGTTTGGGATGGAATGGGCCTTAAAAGTCATCCAATTCCAGGCCAGGGATTACAACAGAAAGCTGGATTCAATGGTCTTTATTGATCCCTTCCAATTTGGAATGTGGAATGGTTTGGGATGGAAGGGACTATAAAAATAATCCAATTCCAGGCCAGGGAGTCCAACAGAGATTTGGATTCCAGGGTTTTTACAGATCCTTCCAATTTAGGGCATGGAACAGTTTGGGATGGAAGAGGCCTTAAAAATTATCCAAGAGGTGCAACAGAGATTTGGATTCCAGGGTTTTTATAGGCCTCTTTCCAGTTTGGGACATGGAATGGTTTGGGATGGAATGGGCCTTAAAAATCATCCAATTCCAGGCCAGGGAGTCCAACAGAGATTTGGATTCCAGGGTTTTTATGGACCCTTCCAATTTAGGGCATGGGATAGTTTGGGATAACCTTAAAAATCATGCAATTCCAGGCCAGGGAGTCCAACGGAGATTTGGATTCCGGGTTTTTTATAGGCCTCTTTCCAGTTTGGGACATGGAATGGTTTGGGATGGAATGGGCCTTAAAAATCATCCAATTCCAAGGCAGGGATTACAACAGAAAGTTGGATTCAATGGTCTTTATTGATCCCTTCCAATTTGAGATGTGGAATGGTTTGGGATGGGAGGGACCTTAAAAATCCTCTAATTCCAGGCCAGGGGGTCCAACAGAGATTTGGGTTCCAGGGTTTTTACAGCCCCTTCCAATTTAGGGCATGGAACAGTTTGGGATGGAAGAGACCTTAAAAATTATCCAAGAGGTGCAACAGAGATTTGGATTCCAGGATTTTTATAGGCCTCTTTCCAGTCTGGGACATGGAATGGTTTGGGATGGAAGGAGCCTTAAGGATCATCCAATTCCAAGGCAGGGATTCCAACAGAGATTTGGATTCCAGGATTTTTACAGACCCTTCAAATTTGGGACATGGAATGGTTTGGGAGAGACTTAAAAATCATCCAATTCCAGGCCAAGGGGTCCAACAGAGATTTGGATTCCAGGGTTTTTACTGCCTTCTTTCCAACTTGGGACATGGAATGGTTTGGGATGGAAGGGGCCTTAAAAATCATCCAATTCCAGGCCAGGGATTCCAACAGAAAGTTGGATTCAATGGTCTTTATTGATCCCTTCCAATTTGGAATGTGGAATTGTTTGGGATGGGAGGGACCTTAAAAATCCTCTAATTCCAGGCCAGGGAGTCCAACAGAGATTTGGGTTCCAGAGTTTTTACAGATCCTTCCAATTTTGGACATGGAACAGTTTGGGATAGACTTAAAAATCATCCAATTCCAGGCCAAGGGGTCCAGCAGAGATTTGGATTCAATGGTCTCTATTGATCCCTTCCAATCTGAGATGTGGAATGGTTTGGGATGGAAGGGATCTTAAAAATCATCCAATTCCAGGCCAGGGAGTCCAACAGAGATTTGGGTTCCAGAGTTTTTACAGATCCTTCCAATTTTGGACATGGAACAGTTTGGGATCGCCTTAAAAATCATCCAACTCCAGGCCAGGAATTCCAACAGAAAATTGGACTTATGGTCTTTATTGATCTCTTCTAATCTGGGACTTGGAATGGTTTGGGATGGAAGAGACCTTAAAAATTATCCAATTCCAGGCCAGGGAGTCCAACAGAGATTTGGGTTCCAGGGTTTTTACAGATCCTTCCAATTTAGGGCATGTAACAGTTTGGGATGGAAGAGGCCTTAAAAATTATCCAAGAGGTGCAACGGAGATTTGGATTCCAGGATTTTTATAGGCCTCTTTCCAGTCTGGGACATGGAATGGTTTGGGATAGAAGAGGCCTTAAAAAATCATCCAATTCCAGGCCAGGGATTCCAACAGAGATTTGGATTCCAGGATTTTTACAGGCCTCTTTCCAGTCTGGGACATGGAATGGTTTGGGATGGAAGGAGCCTTAAGGATCATCCAATTCCAAGCTCATATTCTACGATTCCACAATTCCCCAGGATGGGGAGCTTTGGGAAGAGCTTTGGGAAGGGTTTTAAGTCAAACCCATGGATGATGGCCCCATGTAAGGGATGGACACATCCCAAAAATCCAGCCAAGCCTAGAACCAAACCAAACCAAACCAAACCCCAGCCATCCCCACTGCACCAACATCCGTGCCGGACGTCAGAGCCTCCCATGTGGATCCAAACTCGATTTGCACTCGGGATCAGATGGATGGGGCGTTCCAGGCGTTATTGAATCACGGCAGCAGCCAACAATCCCATTACAGGCCGGGGCCGAGGCAGGAGGGCTCATAAATCCCTCAGCTAAGTGGCCAGGCTCCAGACGTTAACAGGATTGCGCGGCCGGAGCGTTATTGCCGCCAGATTCCGATCGCTCCCGGCTTTTCCGAGCCTCCCCAGCTCCAGCCTGACATTTAATCTCCAGCAAACAACCGCCAGCGCTGCCGTCCTCTCTGACGAACGCCCAACCTTTCCCACGGAGTTGTTTAACACCATTAAGGGTTTTATTGCTCCGTGACATTTATGGG